GTTTTGTTCCTCGTCCATTGAACTCGAAAAAAGAAGGATATCTGACTTTCTATGATACTTAAGATTGTGATAATGCTCAAGTTCTGACCTGTTTTCATAATTTTGTGAATGACCTTATTGGAATGATGTTTTCCAAATACAATACTCCTGAGGAGGTGTGGGATTATTTACTGGGTGTTTATCAGCAGTTCAACTTTGCCAAGCAGTATGAGTTGAAAACAGCTATCCAGAGTGTTCGTCAGCAAGATCAGACTATTCAAGATTTTTATGTTGAGATGACAGGTCCCTAGGATTAGTTGGCTCTCATGGAATCATCTAACCTCAAGGTACTAGACACTTATGTTGAGTTTCGGGAGCAGGATCGTTTAGTGCAGTTCTTAACAGCTCTCTCCCTTCAATATCAGGCTATCCGTGGTGGCAACTTTCACCGGTCTTCTCTTCCCTCTGTGGATGCTATTGTTTATGAGCTCCTCTCTCCGAGGAAACCCGTCTTAAGACGGCCCGTCAGACTCTCTTGCTTAGCCTCCTCTATTATCAATATCAACCCTAACTCCTCATCAACTTCAGGCCACAACAAAGCCTAAGAAGGGGCCATTAACTTCTGATGAGAGTGCCTTTTGCCATCAGAGGGGTCATTGGAAGCATAACTATCCCAAGAAGGGACGTCAGCCTGCTCCATCTTCTCAGCTGCCTCAGATACAGTTCCAAGGTCCTGCTCCAAGTACTTTCTGGCCTCTTGCCGCTTATACTACATCTACTCCAGCTCCTAATCTTGACTTGGCTTCCTTGAGTGCTTAGCTTGCTCAGCTTCACAATATCTTGTCCACTTTTCAGCTATGCCCATCTGCCTCTACCCTTACCTCTCTTCGTTTAGGTTTGTCTAGGTCCTCTTCAAGTATCTCTTCTTCTGTCTGGCTTTTTGATTCTAATGCCTCTCATCATATGACTCCCTACATTTCCTTACTTCAAAACTATTTCCCCCCTCCCATTCAGATCACTATTCATACTGCTAATGGGTCTGGTATGTCTATTCTATCTATTAGGTCTGTCTTACCCTCTGCTATGTTTGTTGTTACTATTTCCTCTGTTCTTTATGTCCCTTAGCTATCTGTTAGTTTATTATTTATTAATCAACTTAATACTTTTGGTTTTGATATTATTCTTTCTTCTTCTAACTGTTGTGTGCAGGATCGGGTGTCCACGAAGTAGATTGGGACCGGCCATAGAGTTGGAGATCTCTATGTGGTAGAAAGCTTGCATCTCCATCCATCCACTTCTCCAGTTGCACTTTTCTCGTTTTAGTTAGATTCTCAATCAAGTTAGTTTTATTTATGGCGTTCTCACCTAGGTCATTTGTCTGTTGACCACTTACGGTCTTTAGCCTAGACAGGATTGTTGGGTAAAGTTTCTCCTAGTCAAATTGATGAATGTCAGGGTTGTAAACTTGCTAAAATGTTTGTTTTACCATTTAATAAAAATACTTTTATTTCTGTTTCTCTTTTTTCTCTTATGCATACTGATGTCTAGGGACCCTCCCCCGTTCTCACTACCAGGGGTTCTGTATATTATGTGTCTTTTGTTTATGATTGCACTAGCTATACTTGGGTTTATCTTATGACTCATAAATCTGACTTCTACCCGATATACCATACCTTTCAGTCTATGATCACTACACAGTTTGGATCTAAAATTAAATTGTTATGGTCTGACTTGGGTGGGGAATTTTTTAGGTACCATTCACCGAACTTCTTGTATTGATACACCCATCCAAAATGGTCGTGCTAAGTATAAACACCGCCATCTCCTTGAGATAGCTAGGTCTCTCTTTATTTCTACCTTTGTTCTGACTCCTTTTTGGGGTGATACAGTTCTTACTGTTGCTTTTTTTCTAAACCGTATGCCTACTCCCCTAATCTTTGGTCGTTCTCATTATGAGGCTCTGTTTTCCCAACTTTCCAATTACTCCCTCTTGCGTGTTTTTAGGTCTGCTTATTTTGTCTCTCTTCATAAAGATAGGACCAAACTTAGTGTCCGGTCTGTTCTGTGTCTTTTTGGGCTACAATCTTACCTAGAAAGGCTATTGCTGTTATGACCCTATTTCTCGTCACCTTCATGTCTCCCACTATGTTGCCTTTCTCGAATGTCTATATTACTTTCAACTTCCTCCTATCACTGCTCTGATTTTCAAAGAGGATTTGGTTCACATTGATTCATTTCCTTCTGAGGTTTCTCTTAATGAGTTCATCTCCACTATTTCCCATTAGCTTGTTCCCTCTATCACCTCTCTTGTTGAGTCCCTTTCCACTGTCCCTCATAAGTCTGTTCCCTCTTCTCCTCCTCCGTTGTTAGTCTATTCTCGTCACAAGGCTCTTCCTTCACCAGTTGTCTTTGCCAATGCTGCTGATCCTCCTGCCTCTGACGACTCTGATCTTGCCAATCGTAAGTATCCCCTCCATATCCATAACAGGTAGTCAAATTTGGTTTTGCTAAAGCATATTTTCTCCTTCATATTGCACCTTTTTGTCTACTATTCACTTTTTTTTAGAAATCCAGTCTTACAAGGAGGCCTGTCAAGATCCTAATTGGATTCAAGTTATAATGGATGAGTTGTCTGCCTTGTAGAAGACTACTACTTAGAAGCTGTTTCCTTTGCCTGCTGGCAAGAATCTGATTGGTTGCAAATGGGTCTATAAAGTCAAGACTCATTCTGATGGTTCTCTTGAGCACTACAAAACTCGCATGGTTGCCAAAGGTTTCTCAAAGGTTTCTTGTCGCTACTATTCATCATTGACCTCTTTATCAAATGAATGTTAAGAATGATTTCTTAATGGTCATCTCACTGAGGAGGTTTACATGCATCCTCCCCCTAGCTTTCACCATTCTTTTAGACAGGTTTTTCATTTTCAGCATGCTTTGTATGGTTTAGAGCAATCTCCTCGTGTTTGCTATGATTGCTTTCAAACAGTTATTACTGAGCTTGGGTTTCATTCTTGTGCCTAAGACTCTACTTTGTTTCTCCTCCACACCTCTGCTGGTTTTGTAAGCCTATTATTGTATGTGGATGATATGATCATCACTAGTTCTGACTCTTTTGTTATTTTTGAGGTCAAGCAGCATCTCTTTCGCACCTTCTAAATGAAAGATCTAGGCCTATTGCAATATTTTCTTGGTATTGAGGTTGCTTCCTCTCTTAAGGGCTACTTTTTGTCTCAAGCCAAGTATACCAATGAAATTATTCACCACGTCGGTCTTACTAACGCTAAGATTTTTGATACCCCATTGAGCATAATGTGAAGCTTAACACTATTGATGGTGGCCCTCTAGATGATCCTACTTTATATCTAGAGCTTGTGGATTTCTTAGTCTATCTGACAATTACTCGTCCCAATCTTGCTTATGTTATTCATGTGGTTAGCCAGTTCGTTTCTGCTCTTTGCTCTACATATTAGGCTACTTGTTTCGGATTCTTCTCTATCTTCATGGTACTATCTTTCAGGGCTTCTTGTTAGCTTCCACTTCTTCCTTGGACTTGGTGGCCTGTGCTGATGCTAATTGGGCTAGTGATTTTAATGATCAAAAGTCTATTTCTGGTTTCTGTATGTTTGTTGGCGATTCTTTGATTTCTTAGAAAAATAAGAAACAAACTGTTGTTGCCCTTCTACTGCCAAAAGTAGGAATGGCAACGGGGCGGGGCGGGGCCGGGGATCACCCTCCCCGTCCCCGATCCCCGATGGTGGAAATTTCTCCGTCCCCGGCCCTGGGCCCGATCCCCGACGGGGTACCAATCACCGCCCCTGCCCCTAACGGGGATCGGGTTTTCCCGACCCCGAAGACTCCCCGGCCAAAAAAAAAAAAAAAACCTTCAGAAAATACAACAACAACTGTGTAAATCAGATCTGAACTTTGTGTAGAGTCCACCAAATCAAGAGATACCGTGAGAGAGAGGAGAGGAGATTCCGTGAGAGGGAGAGGAATTTCCGCCGCGATGCCGGTGAGAGAGGATGAGCCGTCGCCGTCGTATGTGTGAGAGAGAGTGGGAGGATCGGCAATGAGGGAGCACAGCAGCGGTGAGGGAGGAGCATCGTCGGTGAGAGAGAGGAGAGAGTAGCAGAGCCTCGTCGGTGAGAAAGAGGAGAGAGCAGAGCGTCCTCGGTTCGAGAGAGGAGAGAGCAGCAGCATATGAGTTAGTTTGAATGAGTGAGGGTAATGTTTTAGGTCTGGGTTTTATATATATATAGGGGTGAAATTGTAATTTTAATTCGGGGAACAAACCGGGGCGGGGGACGGGGCGGGGCCGGGCGGGGCTGGGCCAGGTACGGGGCTTGGACAGTTATCCCTGTCCCCGGCCCGAAATTGATCAGGGAGTGATTTTTTAATACCATTCCCGTCCCCGCAGGGATATTTTTTGGGGAAAAACCACTTATTTCGGGGTTGGGGGATTGGGTCCCCGTCGGGTCGGGTTTAAATTGCCATTCTTAGCCAAAAACTGGGTATCGTGTTATGGCTCACGCTACTGCTAAAATTGTCTAGGTTCGTTGTCTCTGATCTGACTTGGGCATCCCTTAGTCTTCTCTGACCTCTCTCTATTGTGACAACAGTAATGCTATTTAGATTGCCCATAATACTATCTTTCATGAACAGATGAAGCATATTGAGATTGATTGTCATTTCGTCCGTCAGCATCTGCAGTCTAGCTCTATCTCGCTCCCTTTTATCACTTTGACTCTGCAACTGACTGATTTCTTTATCAAGACTCACACCACTACTAGGTTTCAATTTTTTCTTAGCAAACTCTCAATATTTTTAGTTAAAACACTTGAATTTGAGTAGCGATGTGAGAATATATTGTGTATATATTGTTTATTAGGAATTAGGAAAAATTGTGGTGTAAATATTTTTATTGATTATATTTCCTTTTTCAGTCATAGATTTAGGATTATATAAACTAATGAACCCTTTGTAAATTCTACACAATTGAATATACAATTCAGAAATCTTACAAGGTACACACCGGAGATGTCACGAAGGTAGCAAGACGTCACGCACAACCTTAATAGGGGGTTGTGAACAACTATAAGCACCAGATGAAGATCGCGAACAGCTTCAGGGCACCAGATGAAGGTGCGATTGCAACTAGAGCAGCGATGAGGGAGAAAGAGAACAACGACAATGACCTGCGACAAGAGAGACAGCATCTGCAGAGATCTACGAATGGGCTGCAATGTCCTATGAGGATGATGGTGGGTTGATTCCTGAGGAACTGCAAAGAACAGAGACAATAGCGAAGCAGAAGCGAAGTAAAGCAACAAAAGGGAAATCGGAGGGAGAGACAATGAGAGATGGAGGACCTGTTTCGATCGAATGGTTTAGAGAGTGAACCACGAACAATGGTCTGCGACAAAGAGAGAGAGACCATTGCGAGACGAGAGAGTGGGCACCAGCAAAGGCTTGCAAAGGGGCTGAAAAGGCTTGCAAAGGGGCTGAAAGGGCCCGCAACTGCTCGAGACGACATACATCAGAAGCTAGGTCAGCCGTCTGTATGGCTTTAATACCAAGAAAAAATTTTGAGAGCAAAATACGTATGTATTGAATTGATAAAATGCAAAAGCTGCAAAGTACAATATAAATAGGTAAAAGCCAAAATCCTAAGGACCTAATTACAGAGGCAAAGACTAAACTACCCTTAATGAAACGTAAAAGCCTAATTACAGATAATAAGACCAAACTACGCTGACTAAACTAAGTAATACGAACATAAACACATCACTCATTCTTTCTGTTACATCTATAGCTTAGGTCTTTGATAGAAATAAACCATCTTATCATGTCATCTCTCATCTTCAATTAGTACTTCGACCATTTCATAAATATATTCATTTCTAAAAGGAATAAATTAATGGCTAAATTTATATATAAATAATTAGGGGGAAAATCAAATGTATTGGAACTCTTTACCATTTTGAAATGGCTTTACTTGGTGAGGAGGTGAATAACTTTTTTCAGGTATGTGGTCTTTCTCATACTCACTTCTCATATTTCATGATGACTAATACATGCTTTGCTTACCATTGCAGAGAACATTTGTTGGAGTTGATTTCTTCAGTGTATTTCAAGAGGTATACCTACGAACAAATGACCCCCGTGTGTCCAACATTGTAAGATTCTCTGATGCAATAGGTGAGCTGAAAGTAGAGGTATGACTTCATTGTCTATAATTTTTATTGCATGTTTTGTTGAACTATTTATGTGCAAGGATTATAACGTTTAGAAAATGCAAGGTTTGTTCAAATGCCTATCACATCACACTTGCATTTTATTTCTGAATTATGTTGAGTTGATGATTAATATAAATGTTTCTACTTCAGTGCATCTTATCTAATTGAAGTGTTTGCACTTGACAATATTTGGCATGAATAAATAGAATGGGTCCTTGACTTACCTTATTGGTTCAGCATGTTGCTCATAATCTCTTCACCCTTGTGGCTTCAGTGCAAAATTAATTGTAGAGGTGTAGCAATTCTATGTGTTCTAGGTGTTTAACATGCACTACAACATATAAGGCTTTAGGTACCAAATGTTTGTCCCAAAAAGTAAAAATTCTGTTGCAAAAAATATTTGGAGACCAATTTCTGTCGTCATGAGGAGGATCGGCGCTAAAGGTTGTCTCAAAAAGTCAAAAACGTACTTTTAGCGACAAAATTTTGAAAATCTCGTTAATAAATACACTTTTAGGGACAAAACAATTTGGTTCCAAAAAGGTTTATTTTGTGAGACAAAAATTTTGGTCCCAAAAGGATAGCAATTCATCACTAAATGTCCAATTTCATCACTAAAAATACTATAATGACACTTTTGGCAACTAAAATATTTTGTCCGTAAATTTTTGTCTTTAAAACTTAAATATGTTGTAGTGATGTATGAATACATATATGTTGGAGCATGTATGAAGGTAGAAGTCCACATTGAATAAAAGTAAATGGAGTGAGTCTTAATTTACTACCTACAACCTTACGTTTTTAAGTGGTCGTGAATTCCAAAAAAATATGTTAAACCCTAGTGTTGCGCATGTAGACTCATAGGTTACTCGCCGATGTATTGGACCGTCTTGTTATGTGTTTCTGAGCTCCCTAATTTCCCTAACAAGTGGTATCAAAGTCGATGGTTACTAATATATTGGCAGACTCTCCAAGCTAAACCGATGTTGGTAGGATTACACAGAGACTCGTGATGGAGCATGTAAAAATCCATGAGTAGACTCTCAATGGAGCAAAGAAAATCTAGGTGCACGTGGCTGAGGGCTGCAACATGGTGGCTCTTGATGACAAAGTGATTCACATACAAAGGGGATATTGTTGGAGTATATGTGAATGCAGTAGTCCCACATTGTATAAAAAATAAAAAGAGTGGTTTTAATAAACATTGGATAGACTCCTACTTACATGCTTAAACTTTTAAGTATGAGTTATAAACAATATATGTTGGGCCTTGGTATTGCTCGTGTGAACTCGTAAGCTACTCCCTGACAGATTGGGCAATTTTGTTGCACATTTGTGAGCCCGCAATTTCCCCAACAATATTTAGCTAATATTGTGGTAGCATCCATACACTAAAGTTGCATCTCTATGCATGAGTTCGCCAGAAGTTGTTACAATGAAAAGCAAGCTTATCAACCAAGCAGTGAATTTCAGACACTATACAATTTATATTACTTACGGACAACATTTAGATCCTTCTAATTGCTATTTTGACTTGTCAACTGTTGTCATCCAACAAAAGACAATTATTAAAGACACAGAGAAATAATTTTTCGTCTATCCTTTGTGTTATGTTTGGATTTTGGATTTACCAAGGGAAAGGAAATTACTTATACATGTTCATTTTTTGTGGGTAACTAAACAAAAAAAGAAAAAAGAAAAATGATTTTTTTTGCAATTCCTATTTATTTTCTTCTCATTTTCCTAATGTAACCAAAAAAAAGAAACAAATTTAGCTTCTTTGGCTTCATTTTATTTTTTGTATATTTTCCTCTCCTTCCACAAACCCAAGATCCAAACATAGCTTTAGAGTTCTTTCCACAAATCCATCCGGACTTAACATTAGAGTTTGCACAACATCATTCGGTGGAGGTGAATATAGAAAAGGCAGGCATTATGGGAATGAAGTCCATTGCCTAGTTGAAGGCTACGCAAAAGGGGTTATTGAAAACTTGAGACTGTCAAATGACTAGATTTATGAGGGTTACATATCCAAATAAATTCTCTTTGTGTGCTTAGTCTTTTGAATCAAAGAGAAATATGCAATATTTGAAAGTGGATTTTAGATGAAAGTTATTAGGTGTAGAATGAGAACCCCAATTCGTAGCTTTTTCCTAGTTTGTGGGTGTCAAGCTGGTTTTGCTGAAAAGAATTATGTGATGTTTCAAGGTTGGGAATTCTATTGTGCTGCTTCTTTTGTGTACGGGTTGCAACCCCTTGTTGCCTCTTTTTAAATCCTTATTAAAAATCAATGATGCTGATATTCTATATCAGTATATCTTTATGTCCTATGAAAATTAACAAAAAATAAGAAAAAACGGAAAAGCTTAGTCCTCATTTTTTGGCACTTTGTTGCCCAATGTTCCTTTTCTTTTTCTTTTTCTTTGTTGCCCAAGGTTTTATCTGTGACTTTTTAAACTGTTTGCATCCCTCTCTTTGGAATGATAAAATTACAATTACTTCGCAAAATTAAGAGGGAGAGAAATTTCCATTCGATATGTTGATGCACATAAATATAACAATAATTTTGGCTTTTCTTGCTCTATTTTTTAATTTCGTTTACTATAATTATTCAGGAACTAGGTTTAGTGTGTTATCTTCTTCTTCTTCCTCTTCTTCGTTTTCTCCACATACTTCAATGTCTTCATGATTGTGGTCTTGACTTTCTGCACACATGGTTTGATATTTGATATATCTTGCACTCTTCATATTTTCTTTAACTCAGGCTGCAGCATCAATTAAGGATGGAAAACGAATACTTTTTCAGTTTGATAAAGCAGCCTTCTCTTTCAGATTTCTTCCATTCAGGGTTCCATATCCAGTACCATTTAGGCTTCTTGGAGATGAAGCAAAGGGTTGGTTAGACACTACGTATTTGTCCAATTCTGGAAACCTTCGCATCTCGAGAGGAAACAAGGTAGACAACTTGTTATATCAGAGTACTTTATCTACCTCCTTTGCTTTTCTTTTTTTTTTTTTGTTGTTGATACATATACTTCCATTTGTGCAACCAATAAAGAATTTCTCAAACTTCCTTTAGTCTGTGATCTGCCAAGGACTAAGGACTACCAGTTATGTTGCTGTAGTGCAGGGCACCACATTTGTGCTGCAAAAGAAAACTGAACCAAGGCAAAGATTGCTGGCAGCCATTTCCACAAATACAGGAGTGAGAGAAGTGAGATTGTCTTTTAATCCTCATAATGATCTATAGAATAAGGTTTCATTGTGATTGTAGTGTTGTTGATATGGTCTCCATCTAACACTTGCAGGCAATTGATGAGTTCATCCTCCTAACTAAGAATGTAGCCAAAGGTGAACCAGAACTTCTTGAGGGTGAATGGCAAATGATATGGAGTTCACAGGTAGTATTTGGATAATAATAAAATTTGATCCTCTTTTATTTGAGAAAAAAATCGAAATTATATTGGACCCTCAAAAACTCCTTCAATATATATGTTTTTTCCTGTACTAAAATATGATTATGAGCCGCTGCTGGTGGTGGTGGTCTGACCAACGAGTTGAGCGGTAGAGGAGAAGAGTGAGGGGGAGAAGAGGATATTGGGTGATGGTGGTGATTGAAGTTGATGATTGTGGGTGGCTGTGATGGCTATGGCAATGGGTGGCTGTTGGGTGAGGGAGATGAGGGGTGGGGTAGGGAAGATGAGGGGAGGAGGCGATGGTGGTTAGGAGGGTGATAGAGGGAAGAGAAGAAAGTGAGGAGGTGTCAGTGGTTTGGTCAGAGAGGGACTGGTCTATGTGGCTTGGAAGAAGAAGAAGCAGAGAAGGTGGAGAGAGAATGTGGGGGAGATTTGTTAATTTCATGCTAGTTATGGAGGGCATTTTTGTCATTAGAAGTACAAACATATCTGAAGTGAAAATTTAAGGTTAGAAAGTAGCTTTATGTTCCTTTAAGTTACCATTACTGGAGGGATGATCAGTGTAATATTTTCATATGAAGGAGCCAGTTGAAGTTGGTAGAAACCTTGGGTGAGGTTTGTGTAAATTACACTTTTTTATTTGGACTTCGTTTTATATTTCTATTCTAATTTTTTATGCATGTGTAATAAAAAATATTTTTTAGCCATGATGACCCTTTTTTTGTCACATGTCAATCTTTTTGTTTAAATGCAATATCGGAGTGTCTGAATCATGTTGTTTCTTGTGTATGAAAAAGGATGAAAAGAATTGTTTTGACTTACCTATGAATGAGGTAGAGCCTTGTATTTATAATGAAACAATATTACAAAATAGAAAATGAACAAAATAGGAAACGGAGATAAAAAAAGGCATTAAATCTGTGATTGACACAATTACAGATTTTATACACACTACCATAATTACCATAATTACAGATTTTATACACACTACCATAAAAAAAGGCATTAAGTCTTGGGGCCACCACTTTTGTGCATTATGCTCAAAAAGGTTAGGTGTGTACTCAATCTTTTCCCTCCCAAACACACATTAATGTGTACTAATTGGGCGTTGTTTGAAACGGAGATAAAAAAAGGCATTAAATCTGTGATTGACACAATTACAGATTTTATACACACTACCATAATTACAATATTCATTATTTCCTAATTTAACACTACCATAATTATAATATCACTATTTCCTAATTCTACCACTCCCCCTCAAGTTGGTATGAAGATATTCAATAAACGCAGCTTGCTGATAGACAACTGGAGTAATGTTGGGCCCACAAACTTGGTGAACATATCTGCTAACTGCTGAAAAGAAGAGACAAAGTATAGTCTCACAATCCAATCTGAACCTTCTCTCGAAAATGTATGTCAACCTGTATATGCTTAGTATGCTCATGTAGGACAGAATCAGAAGACAGCATAATGGCAGACTTATTGTCACAAAACAAAGAAGCAGGAGAAATCTCCTCAAATCCGAACTCTGCCAAAATAGCACGTAGCCATAGAATCTTGCAAGTGCCTTGTGTCATAGCCCTATACTCGGCTTCTATAGAAGACTTAGAAACAACTGCTTGCTTCTTACTTTTCCATGATATAAGATGATCACCATAGAAGGTACAGAAACCAGAAGTAGAACGCCTATCTGTTCTAGATGCTGCATAGTCAGCATTAGTAAAACAAGAGAGTCCAGATTGAGGATCAACTATGAAGAACAATCCTAAGCCAGGAGAGGTCTTCAAATATCTCAAGATATGATGAACCACATCAGGATGTTCTGTACGAGGTGCATGCTTGAATTGGCTAACCACACTAACCGCAAATGTCAAGTCAGGTCTAGTATTGGTCAGATAGATGAGACGCCCAACAAGATGCTGATACATGCCTGGGTTCTCTAGTAATTCGCCGAACTCTGATGTGAGCTTGACATTGAGATCCATAGGAGTAGAAACAGGTTTACACCCCAACATACCAGTATCCTTAAGTGAGTCAAGAGCGTACTTCCTTTGAGATAAGGAGATCCCTTGCCATGAGCGAGCCACCTCAATCCCTAGAAAATACTTGAGATTTCCTAAATCCTTAATATCATTGGTGTATCCTAAATCCCGTTTTACTTGATCAATGCCTATAGAGTTATCACCGGTGAGAATGATATCATCCATGTAAACCAACAAGACTATACATTGACCTGCGGAATTACGACGGATGAAGCATATATGGTCTGAATGGCACTGAACAAAGCCCATGGAGATGATGACTGAGCTGAAACGACCAAACCAAGTGCATGGAGACTGCTTCAAGCCATACAAAGACTTACGCAGTCGACATACTTTCCCCTAATACTCCCCCTCAGCTTGAAAACTAGGAGGAGGGGCCATATAAATCGTCTCAAGAAGATCCCCATGTAGAAAGGCATTCTTGACATCAAGCTGATGAAGGGGCCAAAAATGGGATGCGGCAAGGGAGATGAGTAGACGAACAGATGTAAGCTTGACAACAAGGGCAAAGGTTGCACTAAAATCCTTGCCAGGAACTTGAGGGAAGCCCTTGGCCACTAAATGAACCTTATAACGGTCAATGGAACCATCAAGTAGGTACTTAATAGCAAAGATCCATTTGCAACCCACGGTACTCTTGCCAGAAGGTAAAGGAACTAAATCCGAAGTATGATTCTGTTCTAAAGCTGCCATTTTAATCTGCATGGCCACCACCCATTTTGGATTCTGAAGGGTCTCGAATACAGACCGAGGAATAGACTTAGACTCAAGCTTGCCAAGGAAAGAATGATATGAGTCTGAAACCATGGCATATGAGAGAAACTGGGAAATGGAATGATCAGTACTACACAGATAACCCTAATGGCTGGGGGGATGTCGATCCCGAGGAGGATTATGACGAGGAAGGGAAGGAGATGTATGTAAAGGGGAAGAATTACCTGACCCAAGAGCCAGAGAGGTACCAAGAGGGGGCTGAGCACGAGGGCGGCGAGAGTATACCTGCAAGGGAGGGAAATGAGGCGAAGGTGGAGGATGAGAGAGGGGGGGGACAACCTCATCCGCAACCTCGTCTAAAATGGGGACTAGGCGAACACTTGGAGTATCTAAAGGGAAAACCTGCAAAGGGGGGTTAAGACTAGAAAAAGGAAAATCCTCACAAAAAGTAACATCCAGAGTGTGGTGAAAGTGACGGGACACAGGATCAAAACATCTATACCCTTTAGACATGGAGGAATACCCCAAAAAGATACAACAAATAGACTCGTCATCTAACTTAGTGTGAGTGGGACGGCGGCCTTGAACAAAACATGTAAACCCAAAAATACGAGGTAAAAGAGAAAAAATGATAGTATTAGGCATAAGAATATGGAATAGGGTAAGGCTATATAACACACGACTAGGAGTCCTAGTAATAAGCTAGACAGCAGTAAAAACAATCATATGCCAACAAGACTAGTAACACACTATACCATGAAGAAGACAATGTACAACAAACATAATATGACAGTTTTTACGTTCAGCCACACCATTTTGTTCAGGTGTCCAAGGACATGTAACTTGTTGAAGAATACCCATTTGATTAAGGTGGGAACGAAACTCGTTAGAAATATATTCCCCACCATTATCAGAGCGGATGTTCTTAACAACTGTGTGAAATTGTGTCTTAACCATTTGCAAAAACTGAATGAATATGGGAAACACATCAGACTTGCGGCAAAGTAAATAGACCCAAGTGCACCTAGTGTGATCATCAATAAAAGTCACATAATAACGATGACCCGAAAAAGCAGAAACAAAATAGGGGCCCCAAACATCAGAATGAATAAGGTAGAAAGCACTAGGGGCCCGTGTCATATGTGGTATATAACTAGTAGGAATATGTTTAGACAACTCACAAGTAACACAATGAAATTTTGAATCTTTGCAAGCTTTATTTAATAAATGAAAAAATTGACATAAATATTGAAAGTTAATATGACCCATACGGGCATGCCATAACTCTAAAGTTTGAACAGAAAAAACACAAGATATAGAAGTAGGCAAAACAGACTCCTGAAACTGGCTAAAGTCGAAGGTTGGTCTGGTGGATTCCCAAAGTAGTGTAGCCCGTTGCGCTCATATCCCCTGCCAAAAATCCTCTTCGAACTCAGGTCCTGTAAAAGACATGAAGAAGGGAAGAAGATAACAACGCAATTAAAGGTTTTGGCAAGACGACTAACAGATAAAAGATTATAAGCAAACTTGGACACAAGCAACACAAAAGATAAAGTGTTAGCAGGGCATAAAGACACAACACCCTTATGTTGGACAGAAGAGCAAGAACCATCAGCAAGACACACAGATAGGGCAACAATGGTGGGTACAGGAGAGGAAAGAAAAGAAAACTCACCAGTCATATGATCAGTAGCCCCAAAATCCAGAATCTATGAAGGACTAGCAGACCAAACATGGAAAGCAGTAGAAGTACCTGTAGCAAGGGTGGCAGTAGAGGATGATGGACCAAGAGAACCAGTGGTGAGAGACCCAAGTTGAGCCTGAAGCTGACCAATCTGAGTCTGTAACTACTCTAGATTAGGGACATTAGGAGGCTCAGAAACAGGAGTAACTTCCACCAAAGCAACAGTGTGAGCAGAGCCAGAACCACGTGGAGCAGGACCATGAGAACGGGAAGGGCATTGCCTCAACTCAGGATGAAGTTTGAAGCAACGGGCTTTGACATGTCCAGGCGCACCAGAATGATGACAAGTAACAGAACCGGTGGAACTTCGAGAACCAAAACTCGCAGCATGAGCCAACTGATTTGCTAAAACTAGAGGGACTGAAGGAACACTAGACTGAACCAATCGCAGGCCACGCTCATCACTGTCAATAGTGGCAAAAGCCTCATAAAGAGATGGCATGGGTGTTGTGTTTAGAATCTGAATTCGAAGAGATTCAAATTCAGAGTTTAAACCCATAAGAAATTGATAAGTGTGCTGTCGGGCAAGCCTCTTGGATACAAGAAAGGCGACTGCTGATGGAAGGTCAGTCAAAGGCTCATATTGAGCAAGTTCCTCCCAACGAGCCTGAAGATATTCAAAGAATTTAGCGACAGAAAGGCCAAGAGAGGACTGAGAGGCCCGGGCTATATCCTAGTAAAGCTCGAAGATACGGGCATCATTGTGAGCATAAGCTTACATTTGTGACAATGCCTGCCACAAACTTGGAACTCTATCGCAATAAAAGAACATATGATAAATTCGATCTTCTATGGAATTGAACATCCATCCCAATATAATGCAGTTATCGATATCTCACTGAGCACGTATAGGGTCTGTCACAGCTGGCGGGGTAATAGTAGATAAAAGCCAATGGGCCTTTCCCTTTCCCCTAAGAGAGAGTTTAAGGGAACGGCTCCAAGCAGCAAATTTTTTTCCATTCAACACCACACTCGTAATACAATGAACGGGAGCGTGATGAGAAAGAGAAAAATCAAAACCAACAGGAATAGGTTTGGTGGGTACATCAGAAGAGACAATAAGAGATGGCTCAGTCATGGTGGAAGAATAGGAGTTGAAAAACACACAAAATCACAGCAACAATGGCTGAAATAAACTCAACAGCCTTATCCAAATAAATGCTACCGAACAAATCCGGTAGCCCAATGAATCAAGAGGACATAAAAAAGGTGCCTAAAGCATCAGCACAACACCCCGAGAAGGGGAAAAGGGACCCCGAACCACCCTAGAGGGGTAGCCAAAGCACACAGGACGAGAACAAAGTCTAGTCAGCAGCAAACAGAGCCTCGGCAGAAGTGTAGGAGACCTGCCAAGGGGAAAACAGGGAAGAAGCGATGTTGGGTAGTCTAGAAGGTGTGGGTAGGCTTGTTGGGTGGTCTAAAAGGTGTGGGTAGGGCTGTCGATGGCTGAGAGAGGCAAAAAGAAGGCTAGCGGTGGTGATAGGTGGGACTAGGTGGTGCCGGCAGAGGGAGAAGAGGGCTAGGGTGGCTGATCTTTGGCTCTGATACCAAAAATGATGAAAAAATTTGTTTTAGCTTACCTATGAATGAGGTAGAGCTTTGTATTTATAATGAAATAATATTACAAAATAGGAAACGAAAATAATAAAAAAAAAGGCATTAAATCTATGATTGATATAATCACAGATTTTATACACACTACCATAATTACAATATTCACTATTTCCTAATTTAACACTAACATAATTATAATATTACTATTTCCTAATTCCATAGCCCACACTTCTCTTTAAAACCCAGATATTAAGGAGAGGAAAACTGAAACCTTATAACTAGCACAGATGGGGTAACTCCAAGCGATGTGGGACACATTCCAACACAGCCTCCTGGACCACAACATACACTAGCCGGACAAACGGCACACCAATCACAGGCCCAACCCAGCTCTAATACCAAATTAAAAAGTCCAGCCACACTTCTCCTTAAAACCCAGGTATTAAGAAGAGGGAAACTGAAACCTTATAACTAGCACAAATGGAGTAATTCCAGGCAATGTGGGACACATTCCAACGTATGATGTCTGTATTTGTGTCCGTATTTGTGCTTCTTAGGGTAAGGGTTTGCTTCTCCAATACCCTTCGGACCCTGTTTTGTTTTGTCTCTCCACATCCAGGATGGGGTTGCACGTGAAGAAAATAGTGAGATACTTTAATGTACATTGTTAACGTAATCTTTGGCCACACACAACCACATGCAGTGTTTTCTTAATCTTCCTTGTTATATATTGCTCAAAGAACAACAATTTATGATTCTAAACTTGATACCAATCTAGTATTTATTTATTTATTTACAGTTGAGACGTCCCTCATCTTTTGCAGATGGAGACAGATAGCTGGTTAGAGAATGCTGCAAATGGTCTTATGGGCGTGCAGGTGCATTGCAGAATGAACATTGATATAATTTTTATACCATCCATATGCAGTTGCATAGGCTTCTTTTTTTACCATAGACATCTTATACTGCTAACTTAGTCTTCCAATAATGGCGCTTTAGGTAGTCAAATCGAATGGAAAATTGAAGTTTCTGGTCGACATATTGCTTGGCATCAGATTCTCTATGGATGGCACATTTGTGTAAGTTTCTCTATATTGATTAAATAACATCTATGAATCCGTAGCTTTCCCACTAAGGAACGTGGCTCTGCTTGTATTTTCTTTACAACATTGCAAAATAAAGGCAACAAGCTTCTGAAACTGCATTATTTTGTTTAATTTTATTATATCTATGTAGGTGCATCTTCAGTATTGCACTTGTATATTTGGTTGAGGTGGGTTCTCTTATAATGAGAGTGGAGGGAGGGTTCTAGTCCATATAAGCACTAAATAACTAGCATTTAACAGCTTGGACGCTTTTGGAGGTAAACCCGATTGTGAGACTTGTATTAAGAATCTATATGAAACTTAGCCACTAACTTAGATATTAGGAAAGACCTACACTGGACAATTTATTTATTTTTTTCAGGAAACACTAACAACATAATAGTTATACAATGTTTCTTCTTCGCACCCATGTTTAGTGAAGATAGAGAACTATAGTGTCCCATAGGAAAACAACCGTGCACACGCATGTCCACACACACACATGCGCGCTCTCTTTCACATACACACACACACACACAGATGCACACACACACACACACACACACACACACACATATATATATTAACATGGGTAAGCCCATAAAGATTATAGCCCACCACTTAGGGCCCAATACACAACTCAACTACTAAGGCCCAGCACTGCCGAAGCCCCGCGTAGCAATAAGAACCAATGACATTAAGACACGTGTCAAGAGAAGGGCAAACCACATAAGCAGACAAAGATCTGCAAAGTTATTACCACTTCACATCGCCATTAATGAAGCCCCTTACAGCATTTATTGCGACAAGCCCTCTCCATCGGGACAGAACGCCTTCACCGTGAACAAGGTAAGCTAGAGCATAGACTTTCGGCTAATGTGACAGGTCGGAAGGGACAACGAAATGATTACCAGAGGATATAAGCAGACGTCGAAGACAGGAAGAAGGTTACGTTTTTCTGTCTTTGATTCATCCCTGCATTCTACTTCTCTCTCTAACTTGCTCGTCGGAGGGTTCGCTGGGGGACCCCTCGTTCCCCATTGAACTCTTGTGCAGGTTCCTCTGTGGGCTTGGTCATCCGGACTCCGGTTTGGGAAGCATGGATCAGTCTGACCCGTTCTGTCTGGAACCCGCTGTAACATCAGTTGGCGCCGTCTGTGGGAAAGGTTTTTGTTCCGCGCGCCAGTTGTGCTCATTATCGCCGGAGACCCTCTCCCAATAACCCCCTCCTACCACCTATGAAAGTGGATGGTCACAACTAGAACCATGGCTTCTCACCCCAATGCTCCCGATCATCAAGCCGACCCTCCCAATCCGAATAACCCACCACAGTATTTCACCGAACTCACCAACAGCATTAACTGCTTGGCCGAGCAAAACCAAGCCCTGATTAATGCTCTACTCCAAAGAAACCTTCCTATGCCTCCTCCACCACCTCCAGATATTCCACCCAACCAAGAACGAGCCCCGAGCCATACTATCCTGCAACCTAACCCACCCAACTTGGAAGGCTTGCGAGCTCCCCTCCCGGATATAAACCTGTCACCCTGGGCCCTGCACCCACCGGCCCCGGTACCAACCCCCGAGGGAGAGGCCAGTAGCGTCCAGCCCCCGCTTCCCTTCGGTGGTGACAACATTCCTCTCTGAGACGCAGAACTCCGAGCCATGAAGCTCCAGCTCCAAGGAGTCATGCAAAACAAACAGCATAAACCATCCACTACGACCAACTCGCCGTTCGTTGCCTCCATCTGGGACAAAACCTCTACCCCCAAATTCAAAATGCCTACCATCGACTCTTTCGACAGTACAACGGACCCAGTCGATCACTTGGAGACCTACAGAACCCTCATGATCCTCCATGCATTCCTCAACGAGATCATGTGTCGGGCTTTCCCCATAACACTCAACGGGTCGGCTCGGCTCGACTCTGGTTTAGTCAACTACCATCAGATTTTGTCTCCACTTTCCAGCACCTCAGTGACTCCTTCCTCAGTCATTTCATTGGAGCCCAGCACCAGTGACGCCCAGCAACCCAACTCCTCAATATCCGTCAGACCGAGGGGAAGTCGCTGCGTAGTTTCGTTACCCGCTTCAACACCAAAGCCTTGCAGGTAGCGGAAAACGATGACAAGGTCATCCTTACGGCTTTCATGGCCAGTCTACGGTCATCTAATTTCTTTTTCTCCCTCTCAAAAAACCCCCCGACCTCCATGGCAACCCTACTCTCTAAAACCCAAAAATACATGAATGCCGAAGATTCACTAGCCGCCCGACAAGACCCAATAGCCAAAAACTCGACCTCCAGAGAGAAGAGAAAAGACTCAAAAATCAGGAATACCCAGTACACTCACCAAACACCTCAGTACAATGACCGACCACCCCGAGCCGACCAGTCGGCACCAGCCCGACCGCCCGGCCGGTTCGAGCGGTACACACCCCTCAATTCCCCTATGGAACAAGTCCTCAATCAGATCCAGCGGGACTACCTCCTAAAATGGCCCCAACCGTCACGGACTCCTTCCAATCGGAGAGACCAGTCCAAATATTGCCGCTTTCACCAGGACCACGACCATAATACCGAGGAGTGTGTTAACCTCAAAGATCAGGTCGAGGGCTTGATTCGTCAAGGACGTCTCAGTCGATTCACAGATACTCGCCCTGAACAGAGGCAACGGACTGAACCCACCAGAAACAACCGCCGGCGCACCCTTTTCCAACAACTAGCACAACCTAACCAAGGTCGTAATCGCCCTTCACAACAACCTCGGGCACAAGGTAACCCCGCCCCACCTGTTGGAGAAATCAGAGTTGTTTTCGGCGGGCTTGCTTGTGGAGGACCATCCCACTCGGCTCAGCGGGCAGAACTCAAAAAAAATAAGGCAGGACTCAAACAAAGAAGTTGCCACATTGGACCGACCCTCCAAACAGCCCAGGCAATGGGCTGAGCCTATCACCTTTACGGATGCCGACTGCACAGGCATCCACTACCCCCATGACGACCCTCTCGTCATTTCTGCCCTCCTTTTCAATTACAAAGTCAGGCGAGTTCTTATCGACAACGGCAGTTCTTCAGACATCATCTTCCTCAACTGCTTCTGCTAGCTCAAGATTGGGGAAGAAAGCCTGTCTCCTCTCCAAACCCCTTTGGTCGGTTTCACTGGTGACCGGGTGACTTCCATCAGCTCCATCGATCTTCCCATCACAATCGGTGAGTACCCGCGGCAGACCACAAAGTTGCTCACCTTCCTTGTTGTCGACTGCCCCTCTACCTACAACATCATCCTTGGCCGCACCGCCCTAAATGCTTTCCAGGCTGTCACATCCGCTTTCCACCTTGCCATCGTTTCCCACCGATCTTGGGGTCGGCACAGTGAGGGGAGAGCAGACCGTGGCCAGAGAATGTTATGTCGCCTCCCTTAAAGAAGTCAAGTTCAAGGAGGTTATGATCATTGAAGGACTCGACGTCAGAGACGAGAACGAGCTGGTCAGAGGGGAACCAGTGGAGGAGCTCGTCGACATCCTCATCGATCCCACCAACCTGGCCAAAACAGCCAAGATTGGCAGCCAACTATCCGCCCAGGCCAAGGCCGACCTCATCGCCCTCCTGATTGAACACAACGATGTATTTGCCTGGACCCACTCCGACATGCCGGGTATTGACCCCTCCTTCATCAGCCACTGTCTCAGCATTGAGCCGCATTTCTGACCTGTCCGCCAGAAGCAGCGCATTTTTCACCCGGAACGCAATAACCTTATTACTTCTGAAGTAGATAAGCTCCTTCAGGCACAGTTTATCACGAATATGGACTACCCCAGATAGCTGTCGAATGTGGTTCTGGTTCGTAAAAACAATGGTAAATAGCAACTTTGTGTCGACTACTCCGACCTCAACCGAGTTTGTCCCAAAGACAGCTATCCTCTCCCTCGCATAGATCTGCTGGTTGACGTCACGGCCGGTCATCAGATGTTCAGCTTCATGGATGCCTTCTCTGGATACAACCAAATCCTGATACACCCGTCTGACCAGGAACACACCTCCTTCATCACCGACTGAGGCACCTACCATTATCGTGTGATGCCATTTAGGTTGAAGAATGTTGGGGTCACTTACCAACGGTTGGTCAATGCTGTCTTCCATCATCAGATAGGCCGGAACATGGAAGTATATGTCGACGACATGCTGTTCAAGAGCAAGCTCTCCACTGATCATCTGACCGACCTGCGAGAGACCTTCAGACCGTGGCCAGAGAATGTTATGTCGCCTCCCTTAAAGAAGTCAAGCTCAAGGAGGCTATGATCATTGAAGGACTCGACGTCAGAGACGAGAACGAGCTGGTCAGAGGGGAACCAGTGGAGGAGCTCGTCGACATCCTCATCGATCCCACCAACCCGGCCAAAACAGCCAAGATTGGCAGCCAACTATCCGCCCAGGCCAAGGCCGACCTCACCGCCCTCCTGATTGAACACAACGATGTATTTGCCTGGACCCACTCCGACATGCCGGGTATTGACCCCTCCTTCATCAGCCACTGTCTCAGCATTGAGCCGCATTTCTGACCTGTCCGCCAGAAGCAGCGCATTTTTCACCGAAACGCAATAACCTTATTGCTTCTGAAGTAGATAAGCTCCTTTAGGCACAGTTTATCACGAATATGGACTACCCCAGATAGCTGTCGAATGTGGTTCTGGTTCGTAAAAACAATGGTAAATGGCAACTTTGTGTCGACTACTCCGACCTCAACCGAGCTTGTCCCAAAGACAGCTATCCTCTCCCTCGCATAGATCTGCTGGTTGACGTCACGGCCGGTCATCAGATGTTCAGCTTCATGGATGCCTTCTCTGGATACAACCAAATCCTGATACACCCGTCTGACCAGGAACACACCTCCTTCATCACCGACTGAGGCACCTACCATTATCGTGTGATGCCATTTAGGTTGAAGAATGTTGGGGTCACTTACCAACGGTTGGTCAATGCTGTCTTCCATCATCAG